GACACACGTGTGTGTGTGTGTGTGTCTACAGGAGCTGTGCCCGAAGACACACGTGTGTGTGCGTGCGGCTACAGGAGCTATGCCCGAAGACACATGTGTGTGTGTGCGTCACCACTTCTGGGGGATCCATGGCCAGCATAGCCCCTGCCCAGGCACGTGTCTGCTTTAAGACCTGTTAGGCTGTGCATGTTGGATTTGACCCAATATTATTTTTGGCTGGGTTACTTTTGCTATTCCTTATTCCTGTATTTTGAATGCCTATAAAGGTTTCTGGGTTTCCCTGATGGGGCTCAGTAAATGGGCTCTTTCCCTTATCGGTAGAGCCCTGCGTGGGACTCGTGTAGAGCCCTGCAGAGGGACTGGAATCCCACAGGACCCGCTGCCATGCTAGCGGAAGCAGGATTTTTAAAAGTCCTGCGCAGGGCTCTAGCTGGAAGCCGTGGTACTGGTGTGTCACAAGTTGCTCCTAGTTACCTCAGTACGAGGTTTAGCTGGAGCTCCTAAGGAGGAACAGGTTAGGCTGAGCACCTGGGGGACATTTCGGGTGAGCGTTGGGGGAGGAGTAGAGAAGGGTGGCACCCACAGAGCACAATTCATAGTGCATATTGCTAGGCAGAGTGGCTTAGAGTGAGTGCCCAGGAACTGTTCAGGGCACACACCTGGGAAGAAGGTTTATGGTGAACGCCAATGGCTTGGTTTAGGGTGAACACCCAAGGAGGAGCAATTAAGGGAGAACACCCAGGAATGATTCAGCGTGAGCACGTGGGGAGCAGCACTTTAGGGTGAACGCTGGACGAATGTTTTTTGAGTGAATCCCAGAGATGGAGCAATTTAGAGTGAACCCTCACAGAACGGTTTAGGGCAGGGCCCAAGGGAGAAGCAGTGCAGGGTGAACAGTCAATGAACAGGTGTAAGCATCCAGAGAGGAACAACGTAGGGTGAAACCATTGGGGAATCATTTAGGGGCGCACCTGAGAAGAGCGCTTTACAATGGACACCCAGGGAAGAGCATTGAGGGCAGAGCAGTTTGGGGTGGACACTTAGGGAGCTGTTCAGCAGGGGCACCCAGGGAACAGGGTAGGATGAGCATGTAGGGAAGAGCCAGGGGTTTGTGTTAGGAGAATTTGAGAGTGTGTCTAGGGAGGAAATATTTAGGGGGGCATGAGAGGGGACCGGTTCAGGCAGAGCACTCAGAGAGGTGCAGTTAGCGTGAGCACAGTGAAGAGCGGTAGGACGGACTCATGGGACAGCGTTTACATGTTTCTCCCCTACATGGAGTGAGCAGACCAGGGGACTGGTTTAGGATGATACCCAGGCACTGTGGTTTAAAGTGAGCACAGAGGAGACTTATTCTGGTTCTCCCTGGGTGTCTATCCTGAACATTTCCTCCCCCGGTGCTTATCCTGATCGACTGCTTCACACACGTGCTCACCATTCACTGTTCCCTTTCTGGGCACGTGCCCTAGATTGTTCCCCCAGAGACCTCACCCTCCCCTTGAGCCCTTGCCCCAGTGGTCCCACTGGTGCTCACTTAATAGACGTACTCCCTGGGCAGGGCCATCCCTATGGGGACGCGGGGCCCGGGACATAGGCGCAGAGTTTCTATCTGCCGGGCGGTGCTCCCACCCAGCTCTGCCCAGGCCCCGCCCTCACTCCACCCCTTCCCCCAAGGCCCCACTTCTGACCTGCCTTTTCCCACCCCTGCTCCGCCCCCACCCTGCCTCTTCTCACCCCTGCCCCACCTCTTCCCAGCCCATTTCTGCCCCCTCCCCAAAGTGTGCCACACCCTCACTCCTCTCCCCTCCCCCCCAGCGCTTTCTGACGCCGCGGGCGAAACATCTGATCTGCAGTAGGCACTGGGAGAGAGGGGAGGCGCTGATGGGCAGGGCCCGCTGGCAAGCAGGAGGCGCTGCGGGGAGGGGAGATTGGTGTGGGATGGCTCCTCCTCGCCTCCCCGTGCCCACCTCCCCACCTGCCTCCTTACGAACCGCGGGAGCCCCCAAAGCGTGGGGCACAGGGCAGTTGCCCCAATTTGCCATACCCTAGGGACGGCTCTGTCCCTGGGCGCTTCCCCTAGCCCCCTTCACTCCAAGTACTCACCCTCAATAATTATTGCCCATGAGCTAACCCTAAACTGTTGCTCTGAAGGAGACTCCCCAGTGTGCTCATGCTAAACCATGCCTTGCAGGAGATAAATTTAAAGTCTCCTCCCCTGGAGCTCACTCTAAACCCTTTGCCCCACCCCACTCTTCACAGCTATTCCCCTTTCGCAGCTCCCCGGAAGCTTTCACACAATCACTCCCCCGCTTTATCCCCATAAGCTGCCCACACTCCCACTTAGTATCACGCTGCCCTCGAACACAGGTAAACCCCACGAGACGGGATGCGGCAGCATGTCGCAGGCTGTCGCCGTTTGCAAATAGCTCAGTACAACCCTGGCGGTGTGAAGCATGAGTAAAGCCACTGTGAGCTCACGCACCTGGGTGTTGGCCAACCCAGCTCGGCGTTGCACCGAACATGCCCTTAGCGCTAACGGGGCTTTGGCCAACACGGCTCGGCGCTGCACCGAACACCCCCTTAGCGCTAATGGGGCTTTGGCCAACACGGCTCGGCGCTGCACCGAACACCCCCTTAGCGCTAATGGGGCTTTGGCCAACACGGCTCGGCGCTGCACCGAACACCCCCTTAGCGCTAACAGAGCTTTGGCCAACACAGCTCGGCGCTGCACCGAACACCCCCTTAGCGCTAATGGGGCTTTGGCCAACAAGGCTCGGCGCTGCACCGAACACCCCCTTAGCGCTAACGGGGCTTTGGCCAACACGGCTCGGCGCTGCACCGAACATCCCCTTAGCGCTAACAGGGCTTTGGCCGACACGGCTCGGCGCTGCACCGAACACCCCTTAGCGCTAACGAGGGCTTTGGTCAACACGGCTCGGCACTGCACAAAACCCCCCTTAGCACTAACAGGGCTTTGGCCAACACGGCTCGGCGCTGCACCGAACACCCCCTTAGCGCTAACGGGGCTTTGGCCAACATGACTTGGCGCTGCACCGAACACCCCCTTAGCGCTAAC